CTCTTCCCTGTGGCTGCAATGGTACGCCGCACCGCCTCTTGTCCTCCCTGGGTGGGAACTGCTGCATCTGGGCTCTCTTTCAATATTTTTTTCCTTTTATCTCTTTCCTCAGGAAGCCCCTAAGATGCCTAATGGCATGTATGATGGCAGTGCCCTAATCAGAGCATCTGGGAAATTATTGCTGCTACAGAAGATGCTCAAGAACCTTAAGGAGGGTGGGCACCGTGTCCTCATCTTCTCCCAGGTATTGTGTGTGCTGGGCTGGGAGCTTCAGTGGGCAGCAGGGGACCAGTCAGTGACCTAGGGAGGGGATTTTCATCTGACTTGCCCGTAATTAAACCTTGTTCCTTTTCCAGATGACCAAGATGCTGGACCTGCTGGAGGATTTCTTGGAACATGAAGGTTATAAATATGAACGTATTGATGGTGGAATCACTGGGAACATGCGTCAGGAGGCCATTGACCGCTTCAATGGTGAGCAGGGAGGAGTGGCTTCAATCCCAGCATCCTTGTTCACTCGTGTCTTTGGACCAGTCACTCGTTCTCATGTATCTGCCTTTCTCTGTAGTGGTTTGGGGTCTTTGTCAGTTGATGTGGAAGAGGACTTTTTCTTGATTGGAAGAATGTACTGGACTATTCATAAGAGATTCTTCCCCCTTTGGAGTCTTTGTTCTTTCTGCTAGAAAGAAGGGCATTTTATTTAACCCTCCTCATTGCATCTTGAGGCCTTAGGAGGGACCAGGACTCGTCAAGCCCATATAGCAAGTTAGTGGCAGCCTTGTCTCAGTAGCCGCCACCACCTCCTCTTCTTTTTTTTTATTTTATTTTTACTTTTACTTTTTTTTAATGGAAATATACTTGATTTACAATGTTGTGCTAGTTCCTGGTGTATTGTATAGTGATTCAGTTATACACACACACACACACACACACACACACGCATTCTTTTTCATGGTAGGTTATTATTACAAGATACTGAATGTAGTTCTCTGTGCTGTGCAATAGGATCTTATTGTTTATCTGTTTTGTCTATAGTAGTTTGTATCCAAACTCCTTTAATTTATCCCTTCCAGCCCCTTTCCCCGTGGTAACCATTAGTTTTCTACGTCTGTGAGTCTTTTTGTTTTGTAAATGAGTTCGTTTGTATCCTTTTTTTAAGATTCCACATATAAGTGATATCATATGATATTTGTCTTTCTCTTTATTAATTCACTTAGTATGAGAATCTCTAAGTCCATCCATGTTGCTGCAAATGGCATTATTTCATTATTTTTTGTGGCTGAGTAATAATCCATTGTATGCGCGCGCGTGTGTGTGTATACACACCACATCTTCTCTGTCCAGTCATCTGTTGATGAACATTTAGGTTGGTTCCATGTCTTGGCTATTATAGTGTTGTGAACATGGAGGTGCATATCTTTTCGAATTAGAATTTTCTTTGGATATATGCCCAGTAGTGGGATTGCTGGATCATATGGTAACTATTTTCAGTTTTTTAAGGAATCTCCGTACTATTTTCCATGTTTTTTGTTATAATTTGAAATAATTTTGAACTTAAAGTTCAAAACATAGCGCAGAGTTCATATATAGCCTTTGCCCAGCTTCTCTTAATAATGACTATATAACCACAGTGCAGTGAGCAAAACCAGGAAATGAACACTGGTGTTGTACTGTTAATTCAAGCACAGACTTGAATTGAATGTCAGAACTTTTCCTGGGTCGGGACCCAGTCCCAGACCCCTCGTCACATTCAGTTGTTCTGTCTTCATTCCTCCCTTTCTCTTCATGGCGTGATAACCTTTGTTGGTTACTGGTCACCTGTTTTGTAGACTGTCTCTTAAGTTTAGCTTTTTCTGATGTTTTCTCATTAGATTGACAGTAGACATTTTGGTCAAGAATGCCTCAGAAGTGATGCTGTGTCCTTCCCAGTGCGTCACATTGTGGGAGGACGTGATGTTGATAATGACCCATTGGTGGTGGTAGCCTTGATCAGCTGGTTAAGGTGGTATCAGCTGAATTTCTCCACTGCGCAGTTACTCTCTTTTTCATTGCAATTGATAAATATCTTGGGGGAGTTAAATGAGACTATGGTAACATTCTGTTTCTCCTTAAACTTTCACACTGACTTCAGTGTCCATCGGTGGTCCTTGCTTGCGGTGATTACTCTGGTGTTCATCTGTTGAAGCTTTTTGTTTCTGACACTCCTTCTACATTTGTTAACTGAAGTTCAGGAGACGCCTCTGATGCTGTTTGGTTCCTTTCTCAGCCCCGGGCGCTCAGCAGTTCTGCTTCTTGCTCTCTACCCGAGCTGGGGGCCTCGGAATCAACCTGGCCACTGCTGACACAGTTATTATCTATGACTCTGACTGGAACCCCCATAATGACATCCAGGTGAGCAGAGGCAGCGGCCTTGGTGTGCAGTGACTTGTGGGGAACCCACAGTGTTCTGTGAGGGCCCCACCATCTGGAATTCGTTGTTTCAGGGGGAGACAATAGAGTCCTTTTAAATGTCTTCTGCCTTGTTGTAAGCTAGGGAATTTGGGTTAGCTGTGGTCCCATTTTGGGTAACATAATAGATTGTGGTGTCTGGGGGTAGGGGTGCAAAGGGAAGTTTTATATGAAGGCAAGCTGCTGGATTGAGCTCATTATGTGGAAGTCAAGGCAAGAAAATATGGTTACTTCAGTTTCTGGCTTTCTTTTCTGCCCACCTCCAGGCCTTTAGCAGAGCTCACCGTATTGGGCAAAATAAGAAGGTGATGATCTATCGGTTTGTGACCCGTGCATCAGTGGAAGAGCGCATCACGCAGGTGGCAAAGAAGAAGATGATGCTGACGCATCTCGTTGTGCGGCCTGGGCTGGGCTCCAAGACTGGGTCCATGTCCAAGCAGGAGCTCGATGACATCCTCAAGTTTGGCACTGAGGAGCTATTCAAGGATGAAGCCACAGATGGAGGTGAGCTAGGCAGGAACTTGTTTTGGTGTGGGGCTTGGCCTCTTTAGAGGGTATCTTTGATACCTAGGTCCTGAGATTCGGGCCTAGGGTCCTGTGGGACTTGCTTTTTCCACTGCAGCTGCTGAAGCTAACTGGGGGGGTATGGACCCCTGATTCTTTATAGGAGGAGACAACAAAGAGGGAGAAGACAGCAGCGTTATCCACTACGATGATAAGGCCATTGAACGACTGCTGGATCGTAACCAGGATGAGACGGAAGATACAGAATTGCAGGGCATGAATGAATATTTGAGCTCATTCAAAGTGGCCCAGTATGTGGTACGAGAAGAAGAAATGGGGGTGAGTATCAGTCCAGGGCAGTGCTGTGCTTTGGTATAGAAATTGGAATTGAGATCAAGATGGTGTTGGAGACAAGAGGGAAACTTCTGTAGGCAAATTAGTACGTTGACGAATTGATAAACCTCCTCCTTTGAAAAGAAATAATAGTAACATATGAGCAAATCACATTCCCATCTTAGACATGACTGTCCAGAAACTCATGGCCACGTTTCACACTCAGAACATTCATGTTAGCTTTTTAAATCAGAATCTCCTTTTATTTTCTCTTATGTGTTTTATTAACAAATAAACTTTTGATTGCTATCGCAGGTTCCTCCGGAGAAAAGGTAGGACATAGGATACATCCTTGGCCTGTCTCCCTGTGCTTTTTAAAACATTAGAATTATTTTCACTTTTACTTCTTATTTAAGAGTCCAAGAAGTGCTTTATTTATTTACTTATCTTTAGTTAAATATAGTTGATTTACAATGTTAGTTTCTGCCTTTTTTCTTTTTTGTTTTTTTGTTTTTTTCAGTAGAAAACAAAAGGTACTCAGTGATAAATGTATGGCTTCTATAATGACTTTTCCCCCCAAATGATATCATAGGGTGTAAAATGGGGGAAAAAAACTGCTTTCTCTTCTAGTCTCCTTTAAACCACCCCGGTCAGGGTACCTGGGATTGGCATCGGTTTCTGGTGGCCTTTGCCATCTTTTCTCATCCTTCTAATTCAGAACTTTCCCTTTTGCCGCGTCCTGCTGATGCATAGGCATTGTCTTTGTTTTTAAAAGTGATGCTGCACACGTCATTTGTGTGTAACTGGCGTGGAGTCTGGCAGGTCTGTAGACCAGTAGTAACCAGTCAGAACTGCCCTCCTTCAGGGGCTCCGGGTTCCCGTAGGGGCGGTGACTGCCTGCGGGAGTGACTGGCTGGGGCGGCGCGTGCTGAGCCGTTGGAAGGGAGCAGTGGTGCGCTCCCTCCCGTTGGTGACCTCTGCCAGTGACTGCACAGGTATACAGATGGCAGCTGCTGTTTATAGTATTTTTAAATATTATTTTTTGAATAGATAGTGCAGTGGACCTTGAACAATGCAGGGTTTAATCCTCACATAACTTGTAGTTGGCCCTCCATACCTGTGGTTCCTCTGTATCTGCAGATTCAACCATAGACCATGTAGCATTTACTGCTGAAAAATATCCACATGCATACAGGTGGACCCGCACAGTCCAAACCTGTGTTGTTCAAAGGCCAGCTGTAATTCACCTGGTTCACAATGTGAAACATACACCCCAGTCCTCTGGCTGCCTGGCTCCCTTCCTGGGCCTAAGTTACATTTTCAGTCTCTTGTATGTCTTTCTAAAATTATTTAATGTGCATATGAATTACATATACATGGGTATACACATAGATGTATACACACAAATACCATTTTTCTTTCAAGGAAAGTAGTTTTTTTCTTTTTTAAAATTAAAATTATAAAATTAAAAAAATTGATATAATTTCTAAAGATTACTTTCCATTTATAGTTATTACAGAACATTGGCCACATTCCCCATGTTGTACAAGACATCCTTGAGTCTGTCTTACACCCAATAGTCTGTGCGTCTCACTCTGTCACCCCTTCTTTTTTTATGTATATATTTTTATTGAAGTACAGTCAATTTACAGTGTGTCAGTTTTGTGTACAGCATACAAACATACATATATTCATTTTCATATTCTTTTTTCATCATAAGTTACTACAAGATACTGAGTATCATTCCCTGTGCTGTACAGTATAAACTTGTTTATCTATTTTATGTATATTAGTTAGTATCTGCAAATCTAGAACTCCAAGGAAAGTAGTTTCTTATACATAATGTTCTCTTACCTTCCTCACATCCACCTAATCTTTTTTATTCAATTTTAAGACTTTTTTTGAGCAGTTTTAGGTTTCCAACAAAACTGACAGAAAGGGAGAGGAATGTCGTATCTGTTCTCTCTCCACAGACACGCACAGCCATTATCAACAACAGTCACCAGAGTGGTACTTTTTTTTAACCAAGGATGAACTACATTGACACAACATAATCACCAAAGTCCATAGTTCACCTTAGGGTTCATACTAATGAAGTGAATAGTTTTGCACATTCTACACGTTTGGACAAAAGTTTAATGACATGTTCATCGTTATAATGTTACATGAAGTATTTTCACTGCCCTAAAAAACTTCCTTCTCTGTGTATTCATCTCCCCTCCCCCCAAACTCCTGGCAACCAGTGATCTTTTTATTACCTCCATAGTTTTCTTTTCCAGAATGGCATATAGTTGTTAGTCTTTCTTTACACCTAATAAATCTTGAAAGATTTCATCCAGGTCAATACATAAAGAGCTTCTCCTCCCACCTACCCTCCCCCTCACTTTTTTTGCTGCATATTATATCCTTGTTTGGAAGTACCATAATTTCTTTAAGAAAATTGAGATATAATTGACACATACCATTACATTAGTGTCAGGTGTGCGACATAATGATTTGGTATTTGTATGTACTTTGAGACACAAGTCATCCCACCAAGTTTAATCAGTATCTGTCGCCATACATAGTTACACACTTACTTTCTTACGATGAGAACTTTATGAGCTGCTCTTCTGGCAACTTCCAGATATGCAGGGTGGTGGTATTACCACTGCACATAATATCACCATGACTTATTTATCTTATAACTGGAAGTTTATTCCTTTTGACTCTCTTCACCCATTTCGCCTCCTCCCCCTCCCATAATTATTCAGGTTCCACACCGATGGATATTTAGGTTGTTTCTAGTATTACGCTGTTAGCAGCAGCTTAAATCTAATGCAAAGGATTTGGACTTAGGGGTCCTGAAGTAGCTGAAAATAATGTAAGACTTTCAAAGGAGCATAAACATTATTGGGATATAAGAGGATGCATATGTCATTTTTTTCCCACAAAGTTGGTAAACTTTTATGAAGTTTATGAAGAACAGAAAGGGTGTTGACCTTTCTACTTTATCTCTGGGGAAAATCTTTTGCAGAGTTTCAGAAGCTTCTCCATTCTGCTTGCTGAGGCTCTGAGTCTCCTACATGGCACTGTCTCCTGGCTGTGTATGTGTCAGTAACAAGGGCTAAAAGAGCGTATGTCTCTTCATCCTTCTCTTGTGATAACAGCTTGGTCCCATATTTTTCTTTAGTTATGCTGAATGCTAATCTTTATATAATTAAGAGGAACCACATCTTGTCAATTAAATTCAAGTTCTCAGGACCAGGCAGGCACACCAAGTATTTCAGGGTCCAGTCATGGAAAGGAGCTAGCAGGATGGGAACTGTGAGGACCAGGGGTAGCTGGTGGTGCTGACTTCAGCACCCCTGAGTCCTGGCCCTCCCTCTGTCCCAGGAGGAAGAGGAGGTAGAACGGGAAATCATAAAACAGGAAGAAAGTGTGGATCCTGACTACTGGGAGAAATTGCTGCGGCACCATTATGAGCAGCAGCAAGAAGATCTGGCCCGAAATCTGGGCAAAGGAAAAAGAATCCGTAAACAGGTCAACTACAATGATGGCTCCCAGGAGGACCGAGGTGTGTGTGGCCGGCCCCGCCCCCCACCCATGGGCCGTTCCACTAGAGCAGTGGGCCCCGCTCATCTGCCCTCTCTCCCTCCAGATTGGCAGGACGACCAGTCCGACAACCAGTCCGATTATTCAGTGGCCTCAGAGGAAGGTGATGAAGACTTTGATGAACGTTCAGAAGGTGAGGGCTGTGCCTTTTCCCTGGCTCTTTCAATCCTGCTTTGACATCCCTACCAGTGTCACTCACGCATCCTCTTCTTCCCGCAGCTCCCCGCAGGCCTAGCCGCAAGGGCCTGCGGAATGATAAAGATAAACCATTGCCTCCTCTGTTGGCCCGTGTTGGTGGGAATATTGAAGTAAGTAGCATACGGTGCTGGGGAAGGTTGGGTGAGTGTGGATAACTGGGTCTTTGGTGGAGTGAAGTCTGCTCCCTCTCACCTAGGTTTCTTCCTCCCCCAGGTACTTGGCTTTAATGCTCGCCAGCGAAAAGCCTTTCTTAATGCAATTATGCGATACGGGATGCCACCTCAGGATGCTTTTACCACACAGTGGCTTGTGAGGGATCTGCGTGGCAAGTCAGAGAAAGAGTTCAAGTAAGTTGAGAGCTGGAATGACTGATGGAGAGTGAGGGCTTGTGATCTTGGTCATTCCACTGTGTTAGTCCAGGCTGTGCAGGGAAACTGGCTGTTTCCTCTGCTCAAGTTGGCAGTGAAGTGTTAGGGTTGTTTGTGTCCCTAGCTTCCCTGGAAGGGGACCTGGGGCAGAGTGTGGGATGGGGAGACCAGCTTTCTGTGCGACGGTGGGCTTAGCGCAGACAGAGCCATGTTTGCCATCTGGGCTGATGCCTGACTGCAGGTGGGAGGGATCTGCTGCAGGAGTTGGCATGACTGCTGTTTAACCACTTCTTTACCTCTTTACCACAGGGCTTACGTCTCTCTCTTTATGCGGCATTTATGTGAGCCGGGAGCAGATGGGGCCGAGACCTTTGCTGACGGTGTCCCCCGGGAAGGCTTGTCTCGCCAGCATGTCCTTACTAGGATTGGTGTCATGTCCTTGATTCGCAAGAAGGTGAGCCCTGAGCCTCTCTCCGCTGTTCAGGGTCTCTGGGGGAAACTGCAGAAAAGGAGTGGAGGCTTCAACCTCTTGTCCCATCGCTGCAGGTTCAGGAGTTTGAACATGTTAACGGGCGCTGGAGCATGCCCGAACTTGCTGAAGTAGAGGAGAACAAGAAGATGTCCCAGCCAGGGTCACCTTCCCCAAAGACGCCTACACCCTCCACTCCTGGGGACACACAGCCCAATACTCCTGCACCTGCCCCACCTGCTGGTAAGTCTGCCTGGACCATCGCTTTCTGTCCTCCTCCTCTTGTCCTGGCCTGTGCTTTTTCTGCTCCTCTGTGCTCAGTTCTAACAGGGGAGCCTGGCAGGACACACAGCAATCTCCCTCTCAGTTTAGGAGGGCCGTCCTAAGAACTGGGCTGGCTCTTAAAGGCACGAGAGGACAACTTAAGATGAGAAGGCATGACCTTCTCTCTGATCCGGGACCTTCCTAATTAGTATCTATTATTGGTCTGCAGAGGATGGGATAAAAATAGAGGAAAATAGCGTCAAAGAAGAAGAGAGTGGAGAAGGAGAAAAGGAGGTTAAATCTACAGCCCCTGAGGCCACTGCTGAGGTAAGATATGAGGGTGACTGGATGCCACACCAAAGGCAGGTGGGTAAGTCCACTCTGCCTCTTGGGTCCTGACCCATCTTTCTTCAATGTCTGTCTTTTTTCCTTTGAAGTGTACACAGGCCCCAGCCCCTGCCTCAGAGGATGAGAAGGTCCTCGTTGAACCTCCTGAGGGAGAGGAGAAAGTGGAAAAGGCAGAGGTGAAGGAGAGAACAGAGGAACCTATGGAGACAGATCCCAAAGGTATCCACATTTTCAAGCACTCTAGATCCTTGTGAACTAGTGGCTCTGGGACTTCAGCCAGGCGGGAGAGAAGGCTGGAGGAAGCGACACACTCTCAAGAATCCTGCAACCTGGATTTTAAATTGTGGGCTTTTTCTCTCTCAAGACATCTTTTATGACTTTAATCATCGAGATTTAGGTTTTGGACTGTTCCAGCTGCATATACCGTAGAACAGAGAACACTGTTCTTTGGGTACGCCCTCAGTGCCCTCTGTCTCCCCAGGTACTGCTGATGTGGAGAAGGTGGAGGAGAAGTCAGCAGTTGACCTGACTCCCATTGTGGTGGAGGACAAAGGTGGGTGTTTGGAGAAGCTGACTGTGGTTTAAAAGGACTCTAAAACTGAAAGGAAGGACTTTATCTCCAGGACACCCCTCCACCCCCCAGCCTTCCCATCCATACCCATGTAACCATATATCCCAAGCTGAAAGACTCCATCTCTCCCCACATTTGGTTGTCAGTGGGCCGCTGGCCCCTTTTTCTGGGTTTGAGAAGCACTTAGGTGGAGAGAGGGCGGAAGCAGGTGGATATATAAGGTGCTGTGGGGAAGGTGCTGGGCCTCCCTCTAGAACTGGCATCTTTCTTCGGCATATCCTGCAGAAGAGAAGAAAGAAGAAGAAGAGAAAAAAGAGGTGATGCTTCAGAATGGAGAGACCCCCAAGGACCTAAATGATGAGAAGCAGAAGAAAAATATTAAACAGCGTTTCATGTTCAACATCGCAGATGGTGGTTTTACTGGTATGAAAAAGAGGGACCCTGTGGAGTTAGGATTTGAGGTGAAATTAAGGTTCTTGTTAGAAGCCAGGGTACAGAGACTTCACCTCTCCTAGATGAGGGAATGCCAGGATGACCACTTGCTGCTCTGGGGTCTGTGTTAGGAAGCTAGAGGTGTACTACTAAGCTGGTATCTGGGGATCAGGAATAAATGGCTTAGAATCTCATGGATGTTTGCCTTTCTTTTTCTCCCCAACCTTCCCTAAATTCCTCTCCAGAATTGCACTCCCTTTGGCAGAATGAGGAGCGGGCAGCCACAGTCACCAAGAAGACTTACGAGATCTGGCACCGACGGCATGACTACTGGCTGCTGGCTGGCATCATAAAGTATCCTTTGCCGGAGTCTGGGCTGAGGTTGTTGGTGAACGTTTCTGAAGGTCCCACAGTTTGAAGTTCTTACTCTCCTTGTTTCGTTTTCCTGAGCAATTTTCCAATAGCCATGGCTATGCCCGGTGGCAGGACATCCAGAATGACCCGCGCTACGCTATCCTCAACGAGCCCTTCAAGGGTGAAATGAACCGTGGCAATTTCTTAGAGATCAAGAATAAGTTTCTAGCCCGAAGGTTCAAGGTGAGCAGGATGGGGAGGAATACAGCATTGAAGTGATGGCCTTTAGAGTGCGAGAGGGAGTCTGTTCATCCAGCCATAGTGCTGTGTTCTCCTCTGTACTTAACTTTTTGTATTCTGTGAAAGGCTTTGCTCCCAAGTATCTTAAATACTAGAGATGAAGACAGACTTGAAAATGCAACAGCTTTTCAAGGGCTGAAGACTGTGCCTAATGAGTGACACAGAGCAGTGCAGCGGGTGTGCCAGGGGAACACTAGTGTTCAGGAAAGATGCAGAGGTGGGGTTGAATTGGATCTCTGAGGATGCAGGGCTGTTAGGGGGCTGCTGGACCTTTTTTCTGAGTCTGAGAGTGTGTGGATATGGGCGGGGGTAGATTCATTTTCAGAATCACTGGGACTAATAACCCTAGGGCTGATGGGGTCTTACTCAGAAACTCAGCAAATGGATGTCGAGGGTACCTTGTGTGCAAACCATCAAAATGGGAAACCATGAAGACGAGACACATGGATCGTACGCTGAGCATAATAGGAAGATAAGGAAGGTACACTAATGAACCTCACAACATCATGTGCCCAAGCAGTGGGTGGCACAGGGACACAGAGACAAATAAGGCCTGGTGCCTGCTCTCCAGGAACGTTGGGTTTAAATAGAGGCAGATACGTGGTCAAATGAATGCCACTGTGTGTGTTGGGAGGGAGGCTCTGAATCCATAAGGAAGTTCTGTACAGGGAATGTGGGCAGTGGGGAGAGGGTTCAGAGATGCTTCCTGGGGACAGCGGCCCTGGAATGAAGCTGTGATGAATGTTACAGAGACTGCTGGATGGGAATGGAAGGCTGTTTGGACCCAAGGGATTAGGCTGAGCAAAAACAGTCTGCAGAGCTTTGGGTGTCTGGAAACAGCCTGTGGTCCAGGTGGGGTGTGGAAGACACTGTGCTAGTGATGGTGGGAAGTAGGCTGGAGAGAGAGTTAAGGGCTAGAAGTCAGTAGGTGGGGTTTTGGCACTAGATAAGAGAGTTTGGCTCTTACGCTATAGTTCATGGGCAGCCATGGAGGGTTTGTGAAGAATTTTGATATGACCAAAGGAAACTGAAACGGAACATTTCAGTTCAGTGAGATGACAGGACCATCACATGGTCATGAGTTAGCAAGGGCTGGGTTGTGATGCTGGGAAAATGAAAAGGAAAAGATAAAGGAAACAAAACACCAAAGAATTTATAGGATTTACCGACTTACTGTAGGGATTAGCACACTTTGTTAAGGGGCCGGAGAGGAACTGTTTCAGGCTTCGTGGAACATTGTCACTCAACTCTGCCACGGTGTGCAGCAGCCACCGGAGATAAGTAAGCACCAACGTGTTCCCATAAACTTGATCGACACAAACATTTGAACTTCATATAATTTTTATGAAGTGTCATAAACTATTATTTTTACTTTTCCCCAACCATTTAAAACTTAAAAAAAAAAATTCTTAGTTCTTGGGCCCTCGAGAAACAGGCAGTGGCCCAGATTTGGCCCACAGGCCGTGGTTAGCCTAGTCTTAATTTACTGGATTTGGATTTGGGATACAAAGAAGTAAGACACCAAAAATAACTGAAGTCTTCAATGTGAGTTGCTGAGAAAGTTAAATTATCATTGGCAGATCAGAGAAGTGAAGAGAGGGAGCAGTTTATAGAAAAGAGTAAGTTCAATTTTAGAGAAGTCACTTGATGTTTCTCACAAGTAAATACCCTCTCAGTACCCCTGCCACCATCAACAAGTGGGCTCAAAGTGATCAGCCGTGCATGAGTGGGATCGGAACAGTCAGTGCCTGAGACACAGTCTGAAAAGCCCAGCTCATTTGCATAGAGGTGCTGGCTGGTGCCAGGAAGGGAGAGATCTCTTGGGAGAATGCTTTAAAAGAACAGCCAAGGACTGATCCTGGAGAAAGCTCATGGTTTGGGGCGGGAGGGTGGAGGGAGATGGGGAGGAGACAGGGTGTACGGTTGAAAGTAGATGCTCGGTCTGTTTGGGATAAGTTAGTGGGCCCTGATGGAGCCTGGTCTTGTGGAAGAAACAAGAGTCCATTATTCTCATACTGCCCTCTTCCATGACCCCTAATGGATTCATTCTTTTTAAGAACCAGTGGATACTTGAGCAGAGTAAGTCTCATAACTTACAAATCAGCATTCTGTCTCTTGGAACATATGTCAAAGAACCTTTCATGCCGGTGACATGTGTAAGAGTGTTCACTGCAGTATGAGTTTTAGTGGTGGGGCCTGGAGGCAATGTAGATGTTCGACATGGGGAGTATGGGCAGGTAAAGTGTGGACTCACATCACAGAGCAGGTGATGTGAGCAACAGAAGTAACAAGATACACGTCCTATAACAACATAAGGGGAGCTTTAAAAAGATGTATAGTAGGAGAAGGAAGAAAAAGCATTCTATAACAGACAGAAAAACATCATTCTGTAAATCAGAAATGTGCAGATGAAACAATCCTCAGTCTTCAAGAATACTCTCAAAAAAGTACACAGTCAGCGTATTAGAAGGGTTGCCTATCGAGCAAGGAAAGGAATGCGGGTGAGATATGGAGACAAGAAACAATAGGAATAATTTTAAGGAGTAAAACAACCTAAATGATATAGTAGGTATATCCACAGGATGGACTGCCATGCAGCCATTAAAAGTCATCTTTTATAAACAGCAATTAATAATAAAGGAAAATTCATACTCTATAACTTTGAGAGTGAAAACACAATGTAAATACTTACATAGAATGATCTTAATTTTTGTAAAATACAAATGCAACAGAAGACCTCAGAATGTTAACAGTATCTTTAGGAGGTGGAATTGTGATCTTAATTCTCTTATATATTCTGTACTTTCTAAATTTGAGTTTTTATCATTTTTGTGTTAAGAGTGAATCAGTAAAGGGTAAAGAGCCTTAAAAACACCAACCTCCAAAGGAGGGTTAAAAAAAAAAGGCAACATAACTGAACTGGTTGGGTGTGGGGCCATCGGAAGGTTCTTTACAGGTTCTGGGAGGCCCACCAGAAGTAAGCAGTGTTAGTTCACCTTCTGTCTCCTCTCTCCCTCGTTCAGCTCTTAGAACAAGCCCTGGTGATTGAGGAACAGCTGCGCCGGGCAGCTTACCTGAACATGTCAGAGGACCCCTCTCACCCTTCCATGGCCCTAAATACCCGCTTTGCTGAGGTGGAGTGCTTGGCGGAGAGTCATCAGCACCTGTCCAAGGAGTCAATGGCAGGAAACAAGCCAGCCAATGCAGTCCTGCACAAAGGTAGCCAGTGGCTCCCCTGCCTCCTGCTGACTCAGCCTCCTTCCTCCTCTGCTGCCCCCCACCCCCATATTTACTTCTCAGTTCCTGACCTTTTTCAGCGCCCCTCTGCCTAGGAGCTTAGGATGTGCTAGGGATCCTTGCCTTCCTCCCTGGGAAGCTAACATTTCAGAGGCAATCAAGGACAGTCTTTCTTTGCCTCCTTTAATATACTTAAGTTCTTTGCTTCTCTGAAGCAAAGCAGGATAATATAATTTCACCTGGGATACTCAGGTGATTTAAGATCCTGTCAAATTCTAGACCCTTTCCAACATTTTGTTTCTAAAGTTAAAACACTGTGTGTGGGGGGATGGAGGGTGAAATAAGGAAAAGAAGGCTGTTATAAAGGAAGAGGGAGACAGCTCCAAAGGTGGAGAGGAAAGACAGTGGGAAAAGGAATCAATAGGAAGAGCCGTTCAACAAGTGGAGGAGATAAAGACAGTAGGGATGAAGGGACAGTGAGGGTCAGGTGACTTTTAAAAAGCACAGAATCATAGACAGTTGGAACTGGGACATGAAGAATAGGAGTTTGAGTGTGGTGGAGGCCAGGTCAGGTGCTCAGTGACAAAAGAATACTCCAGCACATCTCTCACCTGGTGACTGAGAAGTAATAGGGGGGCTTGGTCCACTTACGGTGAGATGGGTCTCAGTCTCGATCACCATGGCTCACCACCGCCTCTTCTCCCCGTGCAGTTCTGAAACAGCTAGAAGAACTGCTGAGTGACATGAAAGCCGATGTGACTCGACTCCCAGCTACTATTGCCCGAATTCCCCCAGTTGCTGTGAGGCTACAGATGTCAGAGCGTAACATTCTCAGCCGCCTGGCAAACCGGGCACCTGAACCAACTCCACAGCAGGTATAGGACCGTTTTTCTCTGGCTAGCTGTTCCAACAGAGCCATTCTGGAACGTGTGACTTTGCTGTCTGTCCCTAGCTTTACATACTGGGCAGGTGGGGCTGGCTTACCAGTGAGCTCCCTTGGGATCAGGTGGGTTCGTGTGGTCTAGAATTCTCATCCTTCGCTCTTTTCCTACAGGTAGCCCAGCAGCAGTGAAGATCCAGATTGATGATACCACCTCCACCGCTGAGCAGTGACCTTCCTCACTTTCCCTTGCCCAGCTTCTCCCCTGGGGGCCTGAGAGACCCTCTCCTTCCTTCTGCCCCATCTTCCATGTTGTAGAGGAACAACCCCCGTGCACTGGGGGAGGGGAGGGAGTGAGGGGCAGTGGTGCCCTTCCTGCTGGAGAGACGTGCAGCAGTAGCGCCGGCGCCATCTGCAGGGAGCTGGCGGGCTGGCCTGGGCCCTGGCTTCTCCCCACTGTAACGTCTGTTACAAACTGTTGTGGGTTTCCGCCAGGCTTGAAGAAAACTATCTGAATTTCTTCGTCCTTTTGGTTTTATTTTGTTGGTTTATTTTGTGTTTTCTTTTCTCCTTTTTTGGGGGTATTCACAGTGGGCCGGGCCCCTGGGCGAGACACAGCTACCTCTGTTGGCATCTTTTTAATACCAGGAACCCAGCGGCTCCAGCCCCTGAGCGGCTAGAATGAAATAAAGTGGAAAAAAAAAAAAAAGGAAAAGAACCAAAAGCATAAAAAACCACAGCAAATTTCTTGACGAAAATTGAAAATAAAAGTTTCCTTGTATTTTAGTGCTCTGATTCAGTGTGGGTGGAGGTGGGTGAGTGTGTCTGTTGGAAGCCCCGCGAAGCGTGCAGTTGAAGACTGAGGGTTTCCTTGTGTCGGAGATTCCACGAAGAGCAAGTGTCCCGGGGGCGAGGACGCCACCGCCTGTGGACAGCGGAGACCCCGGAGCCACCCGGGGTTCACACCTTGCACTGCGGCCTGCTGGCTCTGTGAAGTTGAGGATGTGAACTCCGGGCTGTGGATGTCTCATGCATAAAGCAGAGCTCTTCAGAGTTGTGAAGATGAAACCCGTAAAGTGCTGGAACAGGTTTTAACAGCTAGTAAGCACTACTTAGGCTGAAGTAAGTTCTGTTAACTTGAGAAGATGCAACATGCCTTCCTCCTGATGTCCAAGATGGAAACTTAGGCAGAGAAGACCCTTACCTGAGGGGCAGCGCGGGGTCTGTGGGTTCAAGGAAGAGGGTTTCTGAGTCACAGTGAATGGTGTGGGATCCCCCGATCTTGAGGCGACGCCGGGCAGAGGACACCCGAATAAGGGCTCTGCTCTGGCGCTTCCGTTCGAGAGGAGGGAGCGGCTTCCGGTATCAGTTTTTCTCAAATCTGCAGTGAAGCCAAAGGCCCACGCCTGG